GCGAAGAAAGGACTAAGCATCAATTACAAGAAAACAGAATCCATGGTTGTCAGTAAAGGTAACAATCCAACATGCAATTTACAAATGGAAGATACCAAAATCAAACAAAGTCAACAATTTAGATACCTGGGAAATGTTTTAACAGAGGACGGAAGGTGTAACACGGAAATGTGAAGACGAATTATTGGATAGCGAAAATGTCTCCCAAAACGAAACAAAGTGTTAAGAAACAGTAAAATGTCGTTAGAAACAAAGAAAAGATACTTTCTTCTTTTTTGCCATATCCTTTCAGGACTTAGACGATCATAGCTCTCCACCTCTTCCTCTATCCCTTGCAGCTCTCAACAAATTCCTTCCCTCTGCTTCTTCCCACAAACCACGTTCTGTCATCCACTTCAGATATGTCACGCATTGTTGTCTCTCTGTTCTTTTAGTGAGTATCAGATTCTCTAGTCCTTCCTTCCTCATTGTGTCCCCCAGAAACTTCAGCTGCTTCTTGATGATGTTAAGTATAAACCTCCTCCTTGTTTGCAACCTCTCTAAGACCTCATCGATGCTCACACGATCGGTTCATGATATCCTTAGCATCCTTCTGTAGAACCACATCTCCGTCTCTTTTTCATCGTTGAGGAAATTGTCCAACATTCACTGCCATAAAGAAGGACAGATGTCACGTAACAGCTCAGTATGCTTTTCTTTGTTACTAAAGAAATCCTCCAGTCTCGCAATACTCTGACCAGTTTTTGGAATTGTGTCCTTGGCTATACCAATACATCTACGGATCTCAGTGTCGCACTTACTGTCCTCTGTCAAAACACTCCACAGATATTTAAACTTCCGCGTCTGTTTGATTCTAATGTTTCCGGCCTGCAAATCGCATTTTACTGAACTCTTACGTAAGTCAGTCCTCCTATATGGCAGTGAATTCTGGACACTCTCCTCACAGATGAAGAAAATACTGGACAGTTTTTATCTTTATTTTCTTCCGAATCTAAAGCAACTATACGAAGCTTAGAACGGCTCATGATCAAACATAATAGATATTCGTTGCCTGATATAATTCACAAAATATGTTTGAATATATATATATATATATATATATATGATTACATGGATATAGTTTTCTTTACCACGCTTATTTCTCCAGCAACTATTTTTTCAGTGCAAGAGAACTAGCAGTATATTTTATTTTATTTCTAAAGCAAGTCATTTTTTGCTTCCCTAATTCTTTTTACTCTCTCATCTCAGATTTGTTTTCTGATCATTTTTTTTTTGCTTTTATTTATTATTCATTTATTTTATTTATTAACTATTTTTTTTTTACCTCGTCCTGGATCTTTTAGCTTTGAAAATGATTCATTACTGTCCGTTATTTTTCTTCTGCAAATGAAAATTTGTATCACAGTCGTTCCACCCAGTGACAAATGGTTTCTGTGCTTGAATTTTCTTTGGACTTGTACCTTTCATTTATTTATTTAGTTAAGAATTTTTCTTCTTATTTAGGAATCCATTTTTTATGCTCAAGAGTTTGTTTTTTTTCCTTCCTCCAATTGTTCTTTTGCATTTTTGTTTTTTAGAAACGGATCCTTTTTTTATTCGTGTCCAACATCATTGATGAGGGTTATGCCCCATACACCTTGCATAAGCACCTTGTCTATGGACAGCTAAGATAATTATTGTGTAACCCTGCGCATCATAGATTCAACAATAAAAAAAGACATTTGGTTCTACAGAAGGATGCTGGGAATATAATTGACTGACCATGTGATCAACGACGAAGTTTTAGAGAAAATGGAAGCAAAAGGGACACTTATAATTATTATCTGGAAGAGACAGTTTAAATTGCTAGGTTACACAATGAGGAAAGAGTTTTTGGAAAATTTGATACTCACAAGACAGATCAAAGGCAAGAAGGACAGAGAAAAACAACATACCCAGTGAGCTTACGTAAATGGATGACGAAGCAAAGTTTTAGAGAGAAAAAAAAGAGCTACAAATGACAAGAACCTGTTGGGATCGCTAACGTCCTAACGGGATGCCGCAAATAGAAGAAGAATTATTTACATAAACAGAATATTAACTACCAAAAATAGGTCCCAGGTTGATTCTAATCAAGTTCAACATAATTAGATGATAGGATGAATACACAATTCATTACGTAAAATAAAAAAAAGAACAGCATATTTTATTGCCAAAGCGGACTAAACAGAAAAAAATTAGATAAAGTAGAAGAAATGTATGTATGCGTGGGTGTGTGTTTCTTCAATACTTCCTTCTTGCTCACATGTTCTGTATATAGTATTCACAGCATTTGCTCTATAGAATCATATCTTCTAAGCTTCAAGTCCCTTCATCTGTGAAGAGATTATCCGGTATTCCTTGCGATATTCGAAATAAAATATTATACAACTGTTCACAACACTTATCGCTTACTACTTTGCTTCCGAAAGGCATCTTATTTGCTTTCTGTTTTCTTTAGAATATTCTCGTTTCTCACATAGTCATGCTGTTATCAGCCTGCCTCGATAGAACCATAATTCTGTCGATTCTGTGAGGAGATTGTCATATAAGAAGAAAATGAGTAACTACCCACACCGAAGTTCGAGCGAGGCACTCTAGAATTATAAATATATGTTTTCCGCCAGGTGCATAAATAGCGGTGTCAGGCTACTGACTGCAGTGATTATTGAGTGAATATTGAGTGGAACTCTCGAGAGATCAACAGAATTCCTTATAACACCAAAGATGAACTGAAGGCAGGGGTTATGGCAGCATTCACTAACTTCAACAAGGAGACCGTCCATATATTTAACATATTAATATATAAAAGCACAAACATAATGTCATATAGGAAGAAAATCAGTAACTACCGACACCGAGGATCGAGCCTGGCACTCTGGACTTATGAATATATGTTTTCCACCAGATGTATAAATAGTGGTGTCAGGCTACTGACTGCAGTGATTACTGGGTGATTATTGAGTGGAACTATCCAGTCGAATTAGTGTGCGTAAATTGTGGGAAGCCCAGTCATGGCTGTCAAACAAGTCACCCCTTCCATCTCATCACCTAACTCCCCAGTCTGCACCCCGCTTGATTATCATGTATGGAATGCAGTTGAGCGAGTGATCAACAAAACGTTTTGTAACACTAAAGACGAAATGAAGGCAAGAATTATGGCAGCAATCACAAACTTCAACAAGGAGACCGTCCATATATTTAACATTATAATAAATAAAAAACACAAACAATGTCATATAGGAAGAAAATGAGTAACTACCAACACCAAGGTTCGAACGTGACACTCTGGATTTAGGAATATATGTTCTCCGCCAGGTGTTTAAATATCGGTGTCAGGCTACTGACTGGAGTGATTATTAAGTGACTATTGAGTGGAACTATCCAGTCGAATTAGTGTGAATTACTGTGCGTCGATGATTTGAGTTTTGATTTAGGATTTACCGGGCGTTAAGCCGAACCGCGCTACTAACAAGGTATTCACTGAAATGGTTAATTATCTTTGGTTGATTTTTACTTCTTTGTTCTTGTTAAGTATTTATTTGTGGTTGTAATTAAATAATGTTTTATATAATTAATCATTAACGGCCACCGTACGTCACAAAAAGATTGCCCAATATTCACCGCTATCCACTGGAGATTGGATATTACATAGCAGTTCAACAAGCTTTCTAATTTTTGTATTATTTCAGATTTTATTTTAGTGGATGCCCGTATTTGAGTAGACGCCCCGTTTTTATTTTTTATTTATTATACAGCGGTATTACGTCTACCGTCTGTAAACTCGAGACAACTTAATATTTTCTGTCTGAATATTTTGAATGAGGAGCTGTCATTATTTACAGAATTAAAAATCGGTCTATTGACTTATGTTTGTTGTTGTTAACACAATGTATCAACCGTTGTGTTTTGCGGCCATCATCTGGTGCGAGTCGATTTGTGTAAACTTTAGCATAATGAGGAGAGAGTGTCTGGAGAATTTAACAATGAAAGGATCTATTTTAGGGAATAGAAACAGTGAAGAAATAATTCTTCTCATCCTAGTGTCCATGTCTAGTGATACGTTGTCTTGTTCTCACTTAGTGCTGTTCAGTTATTTCTTGACTTGTTTCCACCTAGTCTAGTTCAGCACTACCTGGTCCAGGGATTGAACTCAAAATTATTGCATCCCCAAATCCACGAAACAACGCTAGGCTATTGTCCCGTGGGACAGTGGAACGAATACAATCTAACACCGTAAAATAAATAAAATGTTCAGTTCAAAATTCCATGATTCCTGGATCGATAAGCATCTGATGAAGGCCAGAGGCTACAGCGGCCGAAATGTTGTGAGTATAAAAAGAAAGATGAGCTTATCTTTGTTTCTAGACGGCATCGTTTTTTGCTATTTTTATGCGTCTTCGCATTTCCGTCCATTCATAAGATTGTTGTTTTTGTTTGTCTCTCAGTTGGTGTCTATATTTATTTATATTTTATTTACCCATGTAAATTTCTTCCTATCATTTTACTTATCTCGATCTGTTTATGACTTACGTTTATTTGTTAGATTTTTAATTTCTTTCTATTGACTCTTCTTATCAAACTGTTTTTAATTATATATATATATATATATTATTGCTAATCCATGTTCAGTTAAATTAATAGCAAGACGATAACGACTAAATAATTAGAAAGCGATACAAATAAGTAAACGAAACGAACAAAGTAAAGATTAATTCTATGCAGTCTAAGTCAGATGACAAAATACCTTGATTTTGTTTTCGTTTTTCCTACTCATTTTTTTTTAATTTAAACCCGATTATCTTTTGCTTTTAAACAAATTTTTAGTTTAGTTTTGTTTTTCGTTTCGTTTTATTTTTCTGTCTCTACATTTTGTATTGGTTCTGTTCGCCTCTTTATTTTTAGTTCCCTACAACACGTTCATTAGATTTGGAGCCAGTTCCAACTGGTGATGTCTTGGGGATCGAAATTATCCGAGGTTGCTAAAACCTAATAACAAAGTCAAAGACCGACACACATCCGCCCTGCCCAGATCGACGGGCGCGCATGCGCACGTAGAGACGAATGTCCACATAGGCGCACAATGAATCCAAGGTGGTGCGTCTGTTCAGTTCTGGCTGCGGTTTACGCGAGAAGCTTAGACGAAGATATTTGTTTCACGAAGATGAAGTTGCGCTTGTAAAATGAGTTGTCAAAATGGTGAACAAGAAGAAACGTTAGACAGATGATAATGAATCTATTTACATGCATACATATATACAGAGATATGAAGCGATTCAGATAGATAGATAGATAGATAGATAGATAGATAGATAGATATGAATAGGTTGCAATAGAAATAGTTAGGCCAATGTGGATTGACAGATGATTCTGAAGAAATATGTCCAGATTCAAGTAGATATATACATGAATAAATTCAAAAGATAGATAGATAGATAGATAGATAGATAGATAGATAGATAGATAGATAGATAGATAGATAGATATTAACAGGCTGGGACAGATAGATAAATAGATAGTAACATGTGTGAGATAGATAGATAGATAGATAGATAGATAGATAGATAGATAGATAGGAACAGACTGGACAAGATATATAAATAGGTAGGAAGAGACGGGGATAGGTAAATAGATAGATGGATAATAAACAGGTAATAATAAACAGGTAATAATAGATAGATAGATAGATAGATAGATAGATAGATAGATAGATATGAACAGACTCATGCATTAGTCATACGCAGAAGTACAATCCCAACTTTGATCGAAGGAATGCCACACTTATAAAAGAGAAAGTAACTTAGACGGAAAGTTATAGTATGTTGCCAAAATATAAAAATGCACCCCGATCTTTTTTTTTTCAAATATCTCCTTTTCTAAAAGATATACCTACTTTCGAAAGCCAGCACACATAATCATAAAAATAAAAAAATAAAACAAATAAATCAAAAATCGTCTATTATGAAAAATAGATAAATGCATAAATAATTCATCAAATTGAAATTAAATAACAAATAATATATATATATATATATATATATATATATATATGTGTGTGTGTATGTATGTATGTATGTATATATATATGTTTATTCAAAAACAAATATATACTCTACTTTCGAAAGCCAGCACATAATCATAAAAATAAAAAATAAAACAAATAAATCAAAAAAATCGTCTATTATGAAAAATAGATAAATGCATAAATAATTCATCAAATTGAAATTAAATAACAAATAATATATATATATATATATATATATATATATATATATATATATATGTGTGTGTGTGTGTGTATATATATATATATATATTCAAAGACAAAGAGCAGATTTCGAAAGTTTATTAAAAACGAATGTTAGAAGACAGACAGATATTCGACACATTATCCGATGGATTAGGGTTCAAAGTTAATAAAATAAATGAAATTATTTTGAATCTTGTTTAAGTGTTGCTTTTTTCCGATTTTCCGATTTTGTAGAAATTTAAATTGTTATAAGTTGCGTCCAACCTTAAAATAGCCACACTACAAAAGTTGTGAAGTGTAACGTTAAAAATGGACTCAGAGCCTTTTCCTATCCAGTAATGCATTGAATGTGTCTCTGCCATTGTTTTTATTAAATTTTTGAAATCTGCTCCTACCCTGTACATATATATGTGTGTGTGGAGGCACGGTGGAGCAGTGGTTAGCGGCTTGGATTGAGGAATCGCAGAGCCGAGTTCGAATTCCAGTCGAATCCACTGCATTCACTTACGTGCTAATACCCTTGGGAAAGGTATGTATCCTCTTCATCTCCCTCCAGCTATGGGTAAAATAGCAGGACAGACTGGGTTCTATAGCCTTGGATGGCAACTGGTCTAGGAGAAGGACAACTCTGAATTCAAAACCTGCGGAGGGTCGTTTGGGAACCTTGTGGCATGCTTTCGGTGCACCAGGTTTCTGTATTCGTCCCTCCAAAAAGTGTGGCTGGTCCTGCACAAGGCCTTCACCATTATAAACAAATCTCATGTGCCGGTGTCGGGATGTCGGTTCCTGGGGACTTATCGGCCTGACCCTCATACGTCGAACGCGACGTGAGAGTCGATTATATATATGTATATATACATGTGTAGGCAGCAATTTTTTATTAATGCATGTTTCATTAAATAATATAGACAAGTTTTGTTTATTCATTTTCAGTAAGTTCCTTTCATATTGTCTGATAAGCTTAATCACCTTATCCTTGAAAACTAACCTGAACAAAATAAACTATGAAAACTCCACAAATATCCTTAAATGCCTATGATTCATAACAGAAGCCATTGGTTTATACAAACGGCTTCCCATACTTAATACTTCTCGTTTTTCACTCACGCGTGGTCGTGTGTGACGTCACGAGCTGCTACGCGATTTTCGCTTCCGTGTATCGTATATACCAGTTTGTTGTTACTTTCATATTTTTCATGCAGCAAGGGCGGACTATCATTGTTGTTTCGTCCGTGTGTTGTTTGATTTATTGAAATTGTCATCTTTGATAATGGTTTGTGTAAGCCGAAAGCTTAGATTGGATTTAAACATGTATCAATATGGTGTTTTCCTTTCGTCTTTCAACGATAATGGGATTAAGCTTATCAGAAAATATGAAAGGAACTTACTTAAAATAAACAGAACTGTCTATAAAATAAATAGACTTGTCTATGTTATTTAATGAAACATTCATTATTTCTCGAGGACCGAAATGTCGATATAAATGTGGTACAATTGAGTTTCATATTTAAGTAATTTATTTATCTACTCTATAATAAACATATTGTGATCTCTTTTGTGGGTCAATTTTAATATTTTATATTATTAGGATTAATAAATTTAATGAATTTAATATTTTATATTATTAGGATTCACTTCGATGACTTACCAACGGATTTTTACCTATATATATATATATATATATATATATATATATATATATATATATATCATTACATCAACTTAAAACTACCCCTCAAATGTGTATAAAAATAATACGTAAATTTTAAACCATTTTTTTACCCTTGGAAATGTGATCTGATGAACCAGGAAAAACTTGGGAAATAAAATATGATCGATGGACCCTTAAGGTTGTTTGTTTTATAATTAAATTAAATTAATAGCGGCTCTGTTTTGGTATTGAGCTCTCTGGATTGCACCCTACTTGGGATTATCCATACGGATTACCAAACTTTTCATTCCCCAACTATATATATA